TATGCTGAAACCATTAAATCAAACTTGGCAGCATCAATATTCTCTTAGTTCTTTTATGCCTTGGGCCGGTTCTAAATGTGATCAGCATTACATCATATTTTTAGATCCACTGGCTGATGACTTAATTTGGATTTAACAGAAGTGCAAATAAATTATATTTATTTTAATAAGTTTTTTGTAAGATTCTATAGTTGTGGGTTTAAACATTGTCAGCAATGTCTTCCAGTAACATAATTACCCAGTAATATACATTTCCTGTCAACAACTTTCAATACTAAACCCTGGTGGACCGCCTCAGTGCCCCGACCACCAGGCTGAGCAAGTTTTCTGGGGGAAACCCTGAATTACATGTTATATGTAGAAACAAAATATAATCTTTGTTATATTATCAGAGTAAATAAAGGTTTCTGTCTCAGACTTTCCTTCCCTCTTTCTGTAAAAGCAGCAGGTTGCTTTCTCCACCTTCTTGTCTCCATGCACTGCAGGAGCCAAATATGTGATATATTTCCTTTTTGGTCACTAGGTGGCGCTGTAGGCTCAAGAATCTGAGTCAGGGGGCAACAGGTAGCAGGCAGGTGTTGAACTCAGAAGAGCAGCAAGTTTTTTGAGCGCTGTGTGATCACTGTTGTTGTTTCCTTTTGGAGTTTCTGATTCTGTTATTCATCTAGTCAGAGTTTAATAATGTGGTGAATTTCTACAAAGATCCTGGGACTGACTTTACACACCATAATAGGAACAACATTAGCTGCATAGCATGTCACTAGTGCAGAACTAGGCTGCTGAGTTCATGGATCAAAATGATCATTAGATTTAATGAAATGTTCAGTTTTAATACAATTAGCACAAAGAGCTGAGAACAGAGGCACTTTAAAGTAAAACTATTTACAGCAGCTGGAAAAACTCAGATTTAGTTGACAGGAAGATTTATAAAACCTTAAATGTCCAAATCCCAACTAAAGACGTTGAATTGGTCCAACAGACGACAGAAGAAGCTCTGATTGGACGTGTTCAGTCTCACCTGGAGCACAGCTGCTCTGATTGGCTGTCAGCAGTCCAGCTCCTGTTCTGGGTCTTTCTCCACACTGGGGGCAGGAGGAGGGTCCAGATGGAGCAGACTGGTCCCAGTAGGACCTGATGCACCGTCGGCAGAACCAGTGACCACAGCTGGTAGAGACCGGATCCACCAGAACCTCCTGACACAAAGCACAGCAGGACGGCTGCTCCTCCTCACCAACGCTGCTCCTCTTCCTCCCTCTGTGAAGACATTTCTTCATCACTGAAATAGTTCACTAACAACAGGCTGGAGCCGTCCTGGTACCAGAAGCTGAGTCAGAACAGAACCTCAGAACATTGATGATCTCTGGTTGAAGTGTTTCATTATATCTGGTGTTCTGATGGATCTTTCTCTGGTTGTTTTTGTCCGTCTGAATCTTTATTCTGTCTGAGTAGAAAACTGTTTCCATCAGAGGCTCAGAGACCAAAATCTGGTTCTGATCTGGATTCCAGTGTAGAAACATAGATCATTATTTACTGGTGGAGCTCCAGTAAACTGGATTCAGGTCCAGTTTGCTTTTATCTAAGAACTTTATAAAGAGCCTTGAACTGTGACAGAACATTATTTGGACATGTTAGCAGAGAAACAACAAGTTATTAAATTTGTCTTATTTTTTGCTAAATCTGACTTCATGATGATTCTTTGGACTTTGGTTCTGTTTTCACTTTGTAGTTTTATTGTCCTGATTAATTGATTATAGTTGTAGTTTAAGATGATTTTAAAAACTCAGGAATTTAAAACTGAAAGTCTTCTTGTGCCGACCCCACATCACTCTGAGACTCCTGCTGGTGAGAAAAGGCCTTTTAAAATCCAAAAGGAGATTAAAGGATTTCTCAAACATGTATGAAATAATTAAAGTAAAAATTCAGGGATGTTTTTATTGAGAGAATAAAATTATAACAGTTTATCTGGAACATAATGACATTTTCTGGGATTTAATATTTGGGCCATTTTGGAGATTGTTTTACTTATTAACAAAATATCAAAGTTTTATTGAACTTTATTCTGTCCCTTCTTAACTGTTATTGTTCCCACAGACACCAGGGGCCTCATGTTTAAAGCAAACGCACAAAAAATGTGCGGCGCCAAATTTTACACACAAGTCGACATGTAGAAAAATGAACATGACATGAAAATTTATGTAAATATACACAAACTTTTGACCTGCTGTGAAAATGTGCAGCAGCCACACAAACTTTTTATGTTAACATCAAACTACAAAGAGTTAAAACTCACCAAATACTGAAATCTGACGACATTCAGTTATTTAGACCAAGAATCAGCAAACCCGAGGTTTGTTCATGATTTTAATATTTTATTGCTTAAATTATGAAACTGAACTGCATTTATCCTCAGACAATATCCTAACACACACACACACACACACGCAAAATAAAAATAAAAGGATGTGAAAACCTCACTAGGATGAAAATAATTCTTTTCCTCAGTTTTTGTCTCATAAAGATGTAACTCATCGGTCTGAATGCATCTATGGGGTCATTTCATTCTCACTAAAACATAAAAAATGTTGGATCAGCAGATTAACTCCAAACAGGTTTGATTATTTCAGGTGATCAGGTGTGGAGACAATCACAGGTAAACATGATTTCTCTGTTTGAATAAACGTCACTTTCCCACTCTGTCAGGATTTGGTTGTTTCTGTGTTTTTTCAGGTTTCTGTTTCTATGGAGTCTCTGAGTTTACGTCTCTCCCTTGATTAGTTTCACCTGTTTCTTGTTTCCCCTGATTGTCTTCCTGTATTTTAACCCCCCTGTATTCCTGGTTCCTGTCGGGTCCTTGTCTAATCTGTCTGGTCAAGACGTCTTCAGTTGTATCAAGTCGTCTTCAGTTGTATCAAGTCGTCTTCAGTTGTATCAAGTCGTCTTCAGTTGCATTTCCAGTTGCTACCAGTTGTGAGCATTAGCCTTCTGCTCATCTGTGCTGCCTGGATTATTGTGTTTCTGGATCATTAAATCATCACTTCTTCATTCCAACCTCAGCGTTTTCCTCACCACCTCTTCACTGCACATCATGACAGACTCTCTGTCTGTCGTTAAATCCTGGCTGAACGTTCTGCTGCTCAAACAGCCATTTGCAATTAGATCTCTTTATTTTGTTTATTTTTATTTGAAATTTCTTCTTTAAAATGTATATTTATTTTTTGTGATGTGACCTTATGTGCCCTGAAAGCACATTTTAAATAAAATATATAATTATTATTATAAATACTTATACTGCTACAAACAAGAACGTTGCCATTGTTACTGCTTCATATGCCGGCAGACGTCTGGGTATTTATACTAATTAACATTAATATGTATTCATGGAGGCGACAGGCTGACCAGCAGCTGCTTTATTTCCTATAAATTGTGATTTATAAAGGAAAGGTCAGCAGGTTTGTACGTACGGTTTTATACATCCTCATTTTTTGTGCGCTGCACTTTTCTAAATTTGTCCGTGTTGGAGTGAAAACTGCTCTCTCTTTTCTACATGAGGCCCCAGACCTCAGTGGAACATGGAAGCTGCTGGAGATTCATAAAGACACAAAGGAAACTATTTAGTTTTTCCTCCAGTTTGTTCTGTTCTCTCTAAGATCACAACTGAAAAAAGAACTAAAATGATTTAAAATGATGTTTTGGTCTCCATGAACCAGTTTCTAAGCTGAAATCAAAGTTTAAATCCTGGTTGGTCTCTGCAGAGTCACATGAATCGGATAGAAACTTGTTTCTTACTCTGATGGTTCTGGATCAGTACTGAAGTCTGGAGGTTCTTCCTTGGACCGGTCACTCCTCATAGAGGGACAGACGGATCCTGGAGGTTCTGCTCTGTCCTGCTTTAGGTCCAAATCTCCCATCTTCTGGATTTCAGTGAGTCTGAAAGAGAAACCAGTACCAGTCAGTTCCCAGTGATCCAGTCAGCAGGAAGTCGATCCCATCATGTGTTCAGAGGATCAGAGGAACCTGATCCAGCAGGAACCATCTGGGTTTGAATTGTTCTCTCCTTCACTTCTTCAGGACCTTCTGATGTCTGCTGGCTGATCCAGAACCTCCTGGAGAACTTCTGACTTTATTAACAACATTTGAAACCTGAACTGGAATCATGTTCCAGGTCTGCAGAAACATCCAGAGTGAGGTCAGATGTAGTGAATGAAGGAGTGAACATTTCCTATGAAGTGGTGATGTGTTGGTCCTGAACAGATGGGCTCAGTTAAAGCAGCAGTTCTGAAACCTTTGGGGTCCAGACCTCCTTTAGACGGGCTGCCAGTCCTCCTGCTGAGAGTCGGTTCAGTCAGAGAGGCAGGAATATGTGGAAGGAATATTTTCCAGACGGACCAACAATCAGAGAGATTCAGGATCAGGTGATCCATGGAGATCATGAGGATGATCTGATCTCTCAGCTTCCAGCAGATCTGTTCAGGTTTCAGCTTAGAGAGACAAAGAGTTTCTCACTGCTGCAGGAGAAACATCAAGTCCAACTGGAAAAGAAACAACTCAGAGAGGAGGAAGAGGGAAATCTGTTGAGTTTAAATCTGCTTTGACTCCACAGATCAGAGAAACTTCAGTTTCTGATGAACCCCAGACTGCAGAGGAAGGAGAGATGTGTCACATTTTAGGATTTAAATACTCAGGAAAAGCAGTTTAACAGGATGGAGTGTTATGGACACACTAAGAAAACATGAAAATATGAGAATAGAGTCAGAATATTACAACTTTATTCTGGTAATATAAATTTCTTCCAAAACAAATTATATTCTATTTGATCTTATTATGGTTTTAATACTCTGTGGTAGTTTAAAGTGTTTTTGTTCTGGTTTTTCCTCCTAATATAAAACCAGTTCTGCTCTTTAAAAGACTCATTAAGTTCTTATTTAGTTTATATTCATGATCATTATTGCTAACAATCAGATCACCTCCAGGTGTTGGTGCTGCCTAAAGGTGGGATCATGTGGGATCTGGTAGATCTCTCAGTCGCAGTAACTAAGTTGTGGCTCTTTGTTAAATATTTCTCTCATGAAATATAAATGTGTTTCCTCGTGTAACAATTTATAAGCAGCAACAATTCACAATAAAGTCTCATTTAAATTAATTTAATTTTATGTCTAAATACTTTCTTGATCAGCCCTTAAATTAAAATAAATCCAGTAAAGCTCGACCCCAACAAGGATCCATGACAGACGATCTTCTATCCGTCCCACCGAGAGGCGAAGCGCAGATCGATGCTCTACGGTAGGAAAATCTGACAGTGCACCACCTGTTCCAGTCCAGGTGGAGGTGGTGGAGTGTGTAGGTGGACATCATCAGACTCCTGGACATCCAGGTCACCTCGGACCTGACCTGGTCACTGAACACCTCTGTTCTGACGAGGAAGGCCCAACAAAGACTCTTCTTCCTCAGGAAGTTGCAAAGGGCGGGACTTCCTGCTCAGCGGCTCCAGAACGTCTACAGAGCCGTGATGAAGAGCATCCTCTGCCTCAGCAGGACTGGGTGGGACGACAACAACCCAGGACAAAAAGGACTTGGCCCGGGTGGTGAAAACGGCCCAGTGGGTCGTGGGATCAGGTACCGAACCTGGACCTGATATCTGCTGGCCGACTGCAGAGGAAGGCCAGTTGGTTGCTGCTGATGATCCACAAACTGTTGGTACCGTCTGGAAACGCTGCAGGTTCATAAAGTGAACAACCACTTCATGGATAAAGATCAGCTTTTTCCCCAGAGCTGAGAATCAATCTGTCCACCTTCATCCTCTCTGCCCCCTGCAGACACACCCACAGCCTCATGCTGCCCCCTAGGGGCTGATTAAGACTTTATTTATTCATCTATTGATCACTGAGGCACCACTCCAGTTTCATTATGTTCTAGAAACATAATAATAAAAACCTTCTGTCTTAAAACGACAAGTTATTTCTGTCCTCCGTCTCAAAATGGAGCCTGAAGAACAAAGTTAGTTTCAGTTTCTGTTTCACTCAGTAACATGATTTGTGTGTTTTCATCATAACAGAAGCATCTAAAATCATAATTTGATTTGTGGAATATTTACAGTTCATAGTTCAGATAGATTTTAACTATAAAGTTTAAAAAAAACTCAGTATTTCTATATTAAAAGGTTCTGTAGTCAGAGGAGTTCAACTACATTTCCCATGATCCTCTACTGTCTCAACAAACCTGTTGATCAACATTGAGATCATAACGTCCAACAGGACGCTGTCTAACAGGCGTCGAAACTTAAAGTCGTTTATTTCCAGAGGAAAAGTGACAAACTTTCTATTCAGAGCTTTAAATGACAGCAGAGCAATAAAATATCTGACATTAAACCAGTTTTACACAAACAGAGAGATTATATTTAAACAGCGGAAGTTGCTGCTCAGATTAGTTCAAACTGACTGAAAGGTTCGGTCTGTTCTGGCTTCTCTGACCCGGAAACAGAGAAAAGCCTGAAAACGGGTCAGAACCAGTTTTATATAAAGTGTGTTTACTCACTGGATCTGCTGCTGAGACGTCTGGGTCATAAAATGGAGACGCTCCAGGTGATCTGCTTGATCCAGGTGAGGAGGAGGAGCTCACCTGCTGATGTGTACACTGTAAAAAATATCTGTACAATTTAAAGTCATTAAAAAAAAACAGTTACAGACTGTAACATCCAAAACATTATAATACAGTAGAAAATACATGGAATTAACAAAACTCAAGAAACATAAATTTTACATAATATTTACAGTTATTAAAAATAGAAAACACAAAAATGTGTTGTGAAAATATTAGAAGTTGTAAAACTAATTGAAAAAATTCTGTAATATTTCCAGAAGTTAATTATCCTAAAGTTAACAGTACTAATCGGACAAAAATACAAATTTTGCTGATTTATTTCTACGATGTAAAACCATAAACTAGACTGAAAAATCATTTTAGAGAAAAGAATGCTGGGATGATATTTTGGTTTCTTTTTAATAATGAATTTTATTCATAATGTCGTTTATATACCAAATTTAAATCTCAAAGGACGCATTCACACATCGGCCCTTCTGACCAACACCAGCAGGAAGGAGGTGAAGTGTCTTACCGACCCAAACGACCAGAACCGATCTGATGATCCACCGATTCTCAGGCGAACTCCCACCGCCGTTTGTAACGTGTTGTAGAAACCAAGAGGCAGCAGGCTGAGGACAACGAGGCGTCAGACAGTTTTCATGATGTCATTGTGTTGAACTGCAGGTTTAATGCAGTTTCTGTTATTTGTCATGTAAACTCAGAGTCTCCAGTTTAACTGAAGTTAGCAACTTTAACCACCTGGTCAGAAATGTTTCCATTAGCTTCTGTGAGCCGCCATGTTTATTTACAAGCAGCTGGAAGGAAAGAGACATTTTTACTATATGGAGAATTTAATGCTAATTTT